CATTGTGATGTTCACCATCCTTCAGGTAACTATCTTTACGTTGAGGCGTCCAGTCCCGCTCAGGAAGGCAGCAAGGCTTGGTTACTCCGTGATCGATTTTCAGCAACCGCTGGTCGGTGCTTGTCGTTTTGGTACTACATGTACGGCGCATCAACTGGATCTCTGAATGTCTACATCGTGGACAAGGACAATAAATCAACCCTTGTTTGGTCCAAATCTGGTGATCAAGGGAATCAGTGGAACGAAGCTAAGTTTACGCTTGAAAGTAAACTAGATTACAAGGTAGGGTGATACATGGTTCTATACTCTCTTGTTATCGGAATATAAAGTCATCATTACAGGTTTGGTGACAAGAATAACCCAAAATTGGGCGAGTTAGAAGAGAAAATCCATTTTCTTTTGCAAATTCGGAAAAGAGTTGACGAATTGCCCGCCATAACCATGAATTCGGGGAACAGACAACAACCAAAACGACAATAACATGCTCAACAGCAGCAGACAACACTCAAAAGGAGCAAATGATTAAATCGCAGAATTAAGTCTATTTCTCTGTGGTGGTTTTGCAAGTTTGGTAAAAATATCCATACGTCTGAAATTTCTGTTACTGGAAATCACGGCAGAACGACTTCAAAGAATTAAATGCTTAACTAGTATAAGAATATTATTTTCCAGTTGATATTCGAAGCCGTGAGAGGCGCCAGTTTTCAAGGCGACATTGCACTTGATGATATGGGATTTACCGACGGACCGTGCAGTAAGTCTTGATGCCACCCGTCTCCCTCCGTTTTGTATATAGTTTTATAGTTACTATTTGCAATAGGCTTGCAATGACAACGGAATCTTAACAAGTTACCAAGTGATAGAAATCGAGGTTGCCTATTTACCGAGTTAGGATTTCGAGTTGGATTTCGAGTTGGATTTCGAGTTGGATTTTCGAGTTGGATTTTCGAGTTGGATTTTCGAGTTGGATTTTCGAGTTAGATTTTTTCTGGCGGGATTTTTTTGGCGGGATTTCCAATAAATTTTTAGTGGTTTGATGATTCAAATGGTTGACAGGCCAAACACGACTCCTATTGGTCATGATAGAGCTAGCCAATGGTGTAATGTACATTTCGATCCTTATTTGTTTGAAGCTCGACCTCGTTATTTTTTGTTTTTTTTTAACGGCGTTTTTTCTAGATTTCTAGGCACTCGATGGCTAATCAGTGACATCAGTGTAAAAGGAGGTTGACAAGCCTACACGACTCTTACGGTTAGTGACATTTGTACATTTGCCGTTCCCTGTTCGGTCAATCCGGCGACCTTTTTGTTGCTCCACTCGTGTTTATGAAGGGCACCTCATGTTGTGTTATAAGGAGGAATTTTAAGTAGAGTTGAGCCGTAAGACCGTG